ATGTGGTGCTGGGGGATTGAACTGCAGTCCCTGTGTTTTGCTTAGCTTAGCTTATTCTAAGTAGGTGCTTTAGACCACTGAGCCATCTCACCAGCCCCAGACCTGAAGTTTTAAAACACAAGTTAAGGTCTTTCTTCTAAAGCAATATTTCTAAGCACAGTAACTAAATCAGATGTGCTGCGTTTAGAAAAAACAAGCATTAGGAGATAGTAAATGTGCTACCTCTGTTACCAAGACACTGGAGAAACCAAGTAGTGTGAACTTGGACACTGGACCAGCTGAGCCCTGTGGCTGCCCTGATGGGGCGGTGATGGCAGCTTCCTTTTTAATGCCAACAGCAACTGGCGTTAAGGAAATGTGGCTGAGACACACTGAGGATAGCAGAGTTACAAGTAGGCATAGGTTTTTATTCAGTGCATTGCAGTACTGGTTTCTGCTCATCAGCAAAAGCTTTATCGGTTCCAAATAGTATGAGCTTGGACCTCCTAGGTCTTGGAAGAGGGACAGATACACCCCCATGGGATGGCACTGGTCACTCAGCTCAAATATTTGCCTTCTTAGGTTTCCTGTGCAGCAGTTAAATTTCTAGTTGGAGTTTGCCTTTCCAAGTATGCAGCCCACTTAGCTCTTTCTGTGAGCAAGTGTAGGGTGGCACTGCACAGCAGGAGGCCACCCAAAGTGCTCTCCAGGTCCCTATCTTCTGAAGACAGAGAAGTGTTACTTGAAAAGATTAGAGAAGACTTCTTGATGATTGGCTTCAAATTAGGGTAGTTGGCCCAGAAGCCACTATTTCCAAGATCTACAAATCCAGGTGCTTACCTTTCATGACTCGGGTTCATGCTCGAGGTAGCTGGTGGTAATGGCGCCACACACAAGATAGTACCATGTTTGCATTTATTGACAGTGGAGTTCCCAAATTATTTGTGAGTAAAGAATGGGGAATTTTCATCTTTCTTCTTGCTCTCAGAGGCAGGAGGGTTATGCCATAATAGACCTAGATCAGGGGATGATACCCAGTTTGCTGGCCCTCAATGAATCACCTTTGGGTTTGCCACAGTCAGAGTTCCCTGGCCATATGTGTGCTCAGGAGAGAACCGGGCTGGCTTAGTGGAGCACTCTGAAGCCAGCCAGTGGCCACAGGGAAAGGATATGCTAGCCAAGAAAGGACCTTACAAGCCATCGGCAAGACATGGGGCCAAGCAGTTGTTTCCTAGAACTGAGGATGGGGAAAGGAATGTGCTTTCCTCATAGTCACCTGGGCTGAAGGACTCGGCCAGACTGATGCTTGGAGGTCATTTCCCTCACTGTATTCCAAAGCATTATGAATTATGGATGCTCTGTTGGTATAGCAGAGGCATAAACCAAGGACTTGGTGAACCAAGACGGGAGAGTACAAAGCCGAGCTTTAGAAAGGACTGTACGGATGAGTGCGTGTTGTATCCTTACTAATAAGGGTATTTTATGGGGGTGGGGTGTTTCAGACATAGTCCTGCTATGTAACTCAGGCTGGCCTTGGACTCGAGATATAGCCCAAACTGGGTTTTTTTTTTGGCAGCACCGGGGATTGAACTCAGGCCCTTGTGCTTGCCAGGCAAGCGCTTCTTATTCTACTGAGCCATCCCCTACAAGCTGTTCTTGATTCACTATGATCCTCTTGTTTCAGCTTCCTGAGTTCTAGGGTTATAGGCATATGCCACCATGCCAGGATCTCTAGTAAGTGGATTACAAGGGAAAAATTAAACTTCAGTTCTATTGTGACTAGGATTCCTGTTATCAAATAAATTTTGGTTACTTTTAAAGAAAACTTAAGTTTATCTTAAATCAATTAATGAATGAGTTCCCCCCTCTACCTTCCAGTGCACAGTGTGTCTTTGCCTGTGGAGAGCGACCTAGGACCAGCAGGAAAAGGGATAAACCCTCTGGCTGTAGGAATGTCCTCCAACCCAGGCTGGTTTTAAAGAAGGAAGGAGCCTGTGGGAACAGCCAAGGAGCTTGGGGTGTTCTTTAGCATACTTGTCCTAAGTGTACCCCGGGGAGTGGACAGGGTCGTTTTTAGAGAGTAGAGAACTTTGCTGTGCACCTGGGTCAGAGCTGTAGGAAGCTGGCTGAGACATGAAATCTCAGTATGTAAATAACCTGTTTTGACCTGAAACTGGGGTCAAAGCTAGAGGTTTAACGAATAAAACCATTTCTACAATTATGGGACATAGGGGAGGTGGATTTTTAGGGGAAAAGCTACTAATACACAGGTAACTCAGTTTCTACAAAGGCGTGCAGGGGTCTCTACCAGTCTCACCTCACTGGGCAAGGCTAGCAGAGCTTAGAGTGCACTGCAAGAGCCCAGTACCAGCAGCCAGGCCTGAGAGCGGAGGGCAGCATGTCAGCTGCAGGGACCAGCTTGGCCCTATGCTTGCCCTGATGGGGCAGTGATGGCGGCTTCCTTTTTAATTCCAACAGGCACTACAGAAACGTAGAGGAGACACACTGAGGACAGCAGAGTTACAAGTGGGCATAGGTTTTTATTCAGTGCATGGCAGTACTGGTTTCTGCTCATCAGCAAAAAGCTTTATCGATTCCAAAAAATTATTCCTCTGGAAATCCCTCTTCTCTCCTTCTCGTCCCAGTGGAACAACACATTTGAATTTCAGATTTGCCAGTTCATAGCATTTTCCCCTAAGAACCATATAAATACATGCAAAACATTGCACACAGAGCTTAAATAATATCAAAATGCAAATGTAGATCAGGTGCGCTGCTGAACTGAACTGCGAATGGTGGCCGCACACTCCAGGGACACACTGCTTTGAGGCCACCATTTGTTTGTCATGCAGACCACAATAGTCAATCTTTTGTTTGGTTTTCTTTTTTGTACAAAAATACCAGTGCTTGTCATACTAGTGATTGAAAAGAAACTCAAAATCCTATCTGCGTGCTGATTTGAAAAAACAACGTAGATAGATTTGTTGGCACATATATATGGCATATTCACATACGGCATATATACAAAAGGGGAGAAGACATGAACCAAAGGCTGATTCAGTAACAGGAAGCTCATCTCCCTCCATCTTTCCCAATCAAGAGGAAAGTGCGCCTGTGTGGTAGTGTGTGCCTAGGAGGCTGAGGAGGAAGATGGCAAGTTTGCACCCAGCTTGGGCAACTTAGCCAGACCTTGTCTGAAAAACAAAAAAACAAAAAACAACTTTCTAAAGGGCTGGGGATGTAGCTCAGTGTGAAGAAGGCCTTGGGTTTAATCCCCAGTACTGGGGAAGAATTAAAAAATAAAAAGAAATGCGGAAAGGGCATAGCAAGTATTAACTGCAGAGATGGGAAGGCAAAAATTCTGGCACTGAGCTAAATAAAGGTCTGGTCTACTCTGAGGAAGAGGTTGGAATGGCTTAAGAATAGCAGGCATTTGTCAGTGCCCACCCCTACTAGTGCAGTGCAGTGGTCCCTAGTTCTGAAAGGTGAGCATATGTGAAGACGGTGTGGTGCCATGGGTGGCTTCGATCGTAGGACACGGGAGGTAAGAAAGAAAGGAGAGCTACATCAAGAGGTGTTCTGGCACGTTCGTATTTGCCACGCCCTCCAGGATTTTGGCAGTGAGGTCATCACTCAGACGTATCTGTGCAAACTCTCCCCACTAAAGCTCAAAGGGAAGAAAACCCAATCCATAATATTCCACAAAGGGAGGGATTTCTAGACAGGCTCTCTCTCGGTATTTTTAAGAGATGGGAGAGTCATTTCAGAGGACAGAAGATGCCTAAGAGAAAGACACAGCCCCGATACTGTCACCCAGGGCTAGAACCAGCCATTGTTTTTCTACTTGGTATTCTGTCTCTCATCTAACATACTGCACAAAACCTTTCTAGGGGAGAAAGAAGTCACAGCTCAGATCCTTGCACAAAAACTCACTAATGGAAAAACTCCAGGGGAACAAGGAGTGAGAGAACCATAAAAAAAATGCAAACCATAAATCCGAGTGTCCCCACAAACCAGGAGAGATCATCCGTCTCTGGTATACTCTGTGGGCTCATTCTCAAGAAACATGAGTCCACAGAAGGCTTCTGACCCTAACTACTGGCTGCAGAGAAGCCAGGCAGCCCACCTCTGCAGGGCTGGGACAGGGCACACAGCCACCCGCTTGATACTGTCTCTCTGCTGGACGTCCTCTTCCCTAGCCACAGCTGGTTGTTCATTTTCTAGAGTTATCCAGACAGGAACCAGGATGCCATTCTCTCTTCCTCCCCACCTGACCCTTTTCAAATCCAAAGCACCATTTTGGGGAAAAGCATTAACTTACGCCATATTTACTCACTGCCAGTTGGATCACTGAAACTAAATAGAAAAAAACTTATATATATAAAAACATATGCACATAAACACTTAAACTGAATTTCATATCAACACAATTTATATTAAAAAAGTCTAAAACCCAACAAATTTTTTCCCTAAGTATAAAGATGGCTATTTGGAGAAAGGAAGTACAGTGTATTGGTTTTGAAACCAATTACAAGTATACTAAGTCACCTGTCATGCCAGTCAGCTGTTTATGTGCTCCCTTCCACAGGCTTACATGACGGTGCTTACTTTTATTTTAAACCCTTCAAAGAAAATACATATGGCTGACTCAAAAATATCAGTTTCTGATCTAAAGAAAACTATATTTTTGCATAATATTTCTATATTTTCTCTCTATGGAAACTAGAACACACACACACACACACACACACACACACACACACACACACACCGTTGACTTTAAAAAAGTAGACACAAGACCTCAGGAGTAACCTGTCTGGCACCATGAGAGTCTTTTGGGGGCAGGAATGGTAAAATGGCCTCCAAAGCTTGGTATTGGCTTGCTTCTTTAAATGATCTGAGGTAATAAAAGACGTGACAGAATTAAATCTTCCAATGTACTTAATAAGTATGTGTGTGAACACTTCACACCTTGGGTAAGCTGGTTTTTTTCCCCATGAGTATTTAAGACAAAGAAAAGATTGCTGAAACATGTAACACTCACAACACCAAAATCAAGGTTGTTTTCCTATAATGACAGATTGTGTATTGTATTTTATTCTTCTTAACCTAGGACAGCTCAGGTGCAAGGGGCGAGGGAGGATGGGTCTGGAAGAAAAGCCTGGATGGGTAGGTTCAGGTCACCTTCCTCTCTCAAGTGGCAATGTGGCAGTTCCTAAGGGCCTTACTGCCTCCTCCATAGTCCCAACACTCTGGAAGAGGGGGCTGGCTTTGCTGGTCTAATGGGAGGTGGGAATTGGGGACTTCCCTTAGCTTCACCTTCACAAGAGAGCTTAGTACCAGCAGGGATAACACGAAGCTCCTGCTAATGTGGTTCCACCTTGTCCCAGGAAGTCTTAGCTGAGTCCCCAAGTCCTGAGAAGCAGGTGGATGTGGGGCAAGAAGGGAAAGATGGCACAGGGCTCTCATGGTCGGCAGCTGGAGCACGCTGCAAAGAGAACACTCAAGGTGGATGGGGGGGGGGTGCTGTCCAGGGCCTGGGTTTTCCTCCTTGAGTCTGTGTGCAATGCCATGGCACCTCCCCCCTACTTGTATCTACAAAATCAGAATGTTCACAAAAGGCTGGAACATTCTGAGTCTGAACAAACTATGGACCTTGCAAAGAGGAGAATTAGGAAACTGAAGAGAAGGTCAAAGCTGGGGACCCAAGCACCTAAGCTCAAGGTTTATAGAGCCTGCAGGGGGGTTTCCTTAGATCCAGCCAGAGTGGCTCTTTGGCTTCTCAACACTCCCTCAACAATCAGGTCTTATCCCGGAGGAGCCCTGGAGATGGCTTTGAAAGCAGCAGTTACCCCAAGGAGGACCCCATAAGTCTGATTTGATGGTCTGTCTTGTCCCAGGCCTGCCAGCTTCTGGTCCTCAAACTCCAGGATGAGTTAGCAGGCAGGGCCATACCAAATGCATTCTTTTGGAACAGAAAGATGCTCAGGCCCATAGCAAAAACTGCATGCACTTGTATTACACACGTTAAGCTGCATGGTCAAGAGTGATCTCTCTGGCACATAAAGACCACATACACCTGGCAAGATGGCAGTCTAGAAGCAGACGCTAACTTGGCAACAAGAGGAAACATTCTCATCAGCTACTAATGGCCTCAAAAGGACTCTTTTAGCAAAGAAACCCATCTGCCTCTAGAACCAAGTCAAGGGTTCCATTGAGGCCCTAAAGGAGGATGGTCAAAGTTGAATCAAGTCCCTTTCATTCTCTTAATTATCGCAATTTTTAGAAAAGTGAAAGGATGGATGACAGGGTCACAAAAGACCAAAGAACACCAGGTGCAGAAAAAGCTAGAGGCCTTCAGGTGTAAGTTTTCAAAACAGGAAAAGCTTTTTTAAAACCATCACTATACTGGCTGACATATACATTCTATCCTTGCATCAACAAATTTCATTTGTGGACATTTAGCTCTCTCTAAAGCCCTAGCTTACAAATGGTAGAGCCTCAGAGGATAAAATCCAGAAGGTGGGAGATGATGACATGTACGAACACTGGGGAGAATTTGGGATGGGCTGATGCCAGGAGGACTGGCCACGTTCCTTTACAAATGACAACTGATGCCCCAAGGAACAGATTCTACAATTACCTGCTTGGGTCCTGCTACAAACTCAAGTTTAAGTTGAAATCTCTGCAGGTCTGTGTTCTTGCTTCTTCATAGTCAGGTAGGGGGAAGGGTCTCACACACTTAGGAGCAGTTGACATGACAGTGAGAGTCCCATCATCACCTCATAGATGGGACAGATGAAGAGGAAAATAGGGACAACAGGGGTGGGAGTCAGAGAATGAAAGTTCAAACCGATGTCTCCAGGTTTTGTAGAGGGTTGTCTGAATGGGAGGGAACAATTCGCACTTGGTTGCAATCCACCACATTGTTGTTTTGGTTAGCACGTGCAGTGACCTCATCTTCCAATGAGTGCACCGTAGTCCCAGTCTCAGAAACATCTTCAAGGTCTTCTTCCTTTTGCTCATCCAACAGTGGTGTTCGTGGCGACTCCTCATCTATGGTGAATTCAGGGTGGGTCATGAAGTTGTGGATGGAGTTTTGGTTCTTGGGTTTCTGAATGCTTTCATGGAGGGAACTATGGAATGCTCTGACCACTTTGATCTATACCAGGGGAAGGAAAAGGAGGATGAGAAAATAGGGAGGTGAGAATTGGGTAGCAGCACAAGGAACTAATGGTCTGAGGAATGAAACGAAATTCAAGCTATGAAACATGGCCATTCAACAACCAAAACCAAATATATAAAAAGAGATCATGGGGCATATATAAACACAGCATGGCCAAGCTGGGCACAACAGCTCACGGGAGGTTGAAGCAGGATTGTGAGTTCAAGCCCAGCCTGGGCAATTGAGAAGCTCAATGAGACCCTGTCTCAAAAACAAAACAAAACAACAAAACAGGGCTGATAATACAGTTCACTAGAGGCCCTGGGTTCAACCATAACCCTAGGGTTAAACCTTAAAAGAAAGAAGAGAGAGAGAGAGAGAGAGAGAGAGAGAGAGAGAGAGAGAGAGAGAGAGATAAGGAAAGAATGGAAGGAAGATAGATAGGTAGGTAGATAGATAGATAGATAGATAGATAGATAGATAGATAGATAGATAGACAAACAAACAGATTACATGACTCAAATGTCAAGCACTAGGGTGAGAAGAGTGATGACAAACCAGGATGTTTCAAAGGTTGTATTTTAAAAGTAGAAAACCCAGAACAAAGTTAGCACATCCAAGCAATCCACTCTTAAAAATGAAACACAAAACAAAAAGACTCATTAGTTCTTTTGGATAGAGGGCAAAGGTGTTGGAACTAGGTGCAAATTAATAGCCAAACTTAAAGAGATGCTTCACACGCATTTCTGTGTTGAGGTCATTTTGTGCATGTGGAATAGAAAAAATTACACATGGAAGTGTAGTGATCCATTTAAATCCCTCAAAGATCCAACACATATCAATCTGCACATAATACGTATCAGGTGACAAGTGACCGTGAACACTGTGCAGCCAGGCAGACAAACCAGTCTTCATTCAGTGGCATGCAGGAAATTAAAACACTCCAATTTAGTAATCTGCCCGCCTAGTCAGAAGACATGCATATAATTTACATCCCACAACCTTCACTGTGTGCCCTCCTGGAACCCTTCTTTCTTTCTCCTAGAAGATGTGAATGACACTTTGGCTCTGCTAAGAAAGCCTGGATCTCACAACTGGCATCCTAGCCCGACTCTGATCCACAGGAGTGTGCTGGAGTAGGCTGCTCTCTCCAGCTGTTTTCAGCTTGGGAAGAGGAAGGTCATTGTATGTGGAGGAGGGAAGAGCTAGACCAGGAAGAAACCTGATCCAGGAAGCAGACTGCAAACATGCAGTCTTTTTGATGGGGCAGAGGAAGAGGGCAAAAGAAAGGGAAACAGCTGGCAGTTCTACTGGGCAAAAGGAGATGCAGTGGGTGCCCTGTGAAAGTCTGTCCTATTACACAAAGAAGGAAGACATTCAGTCAATTCAAAGTCAAGAGGGAAAAACAATCTGACAATACTTGATTCCTGTCAACAGCTTTTGTTTATCCATAGGCACCAGCTCTTTTCGCAGTTCTGCGTTTCTGACCTGTGGGTCCCTCTGAAGGATGGCTCAGGATCTAGGGTGGTAAAACTGGGGTGGAGGAGAGTTGCATTCCAGAGATACTGGAGAGGAAGGCCAGGGAAAGGTAAGTAACTGGATGCAGCCTTACTTTTGGAGAGGTGACCAATCCTAGCCTTGTCCAAAAATTCTTCTCATAGGAAAGAAATGAGAGTAATGAGTACTCACTAACGTGGGGAGGAGGCTATGAAGGACAGACACATGCTGCCACGGTATATCTTCCATTCCTCCGTTCATTAGGCAAATATATATATATACAAATACATATTCAGGAGAATGTAGAGCCAGCAGATCATACAGACAAGTAAACTGGAGCTCCTGTCCAGCACTTCCTACCATCATACAGAGCCTTCAAGAACACTACACAAGGCAGCCTCACCATCAGTCCTGCGGGGTCCACCTGCCTGGGCTAGAGGCAGCCTCACCACAAGCCTGTGGGCCAGGGTTCACCTTGCCTCGTCTCACTTCTCCATAGCCTCTGGCCCACCCAGAACTGAGGATGCTTACAGCAAAGGACGTCTTACCACTTACTACCTCAACTCAAAAGAACCTCAGTGCACACCTGCCATGCAGAACAGAAAGTGAGCACCGTTCTTCTGTCTATCCCTTTATGACTTACTGACTGCATAATGGTGAATTTTACCATCACGTTGTTTCTGCTCCAAACAGCAGTGAGATGGGTGGAGTGGAGGCTCCATCTAACCTTCAGGGTGGACTCAGATTGTCTACACCAGATCTTAGAGCAAGGCAACTTGGATAAGTGAGCCCTAACTCAAATAGTACCTTCTCCTTTGGCATGGAAACAGATACCTCTGGCTAAAGCACAGGCCTAAAGCCATCTCACCTCTGTAGGAGTCATAAAAGCCCAATTTATTTGTCTGTTCTTCAAATCTACAGGAAAGCAGGTGTCTTTTATACCATCAGTTCATCAGCTTTCTATCAATGATTTTTAAACTTCTTGCTTCTGTTTTCTAAAAGCAATCGCATACCTCATCAAAAGTATTATATATGGAATCCATGATTAAAAAAAAAAAAAAAAAAAAAAAACAAACAGATTTTTAAATATCAGGGTTGGAGTGAAGACCCGGAGCCCCGTTTGTTGACTTTGGCTCTCACCTGCTGGGGCAACCAGTGGCACTGTGAAGGTAGACAAACGAGGAGATAAGTGAACTGCAAGGGGTAGGTGGAAAGATAAAGTAACTTTCTTTGGGGGTGCAAGCAGCAGTCATTCAGCTAGACTGCAGGACCCTGGAGTCTAAGGGGAAACCAGCCACCTGTAAGGGAAGCTTAAGAGGAGGCGAGTCAGAGAGCCAGGGAGCATCACCTGTGTGTGTGTGTATGGGGGGGGGGGGAGCAGAGGACTGCAGCAGGTTCAGAGGACACAGGCTGGTACGCAGTCACACAGCATGTCACCACAGTCTGCCCAAGGCTGGCGTCTCCCCTTGCTGGAGTACGGCACCGGGTAGGGGAGCAGTGTATGGGGCCAGGGCAGCAGGTGTGCTGCAAGCCTTGTTCACTGTCCTCTCTGCCGCCCAGCCCTTCTCTCCCTGGGCATCAGTCCTCAGAGCCTCTGGGGCTTGATTGAAGGCAATTCTCATGACTCAAGAGCCCCAAGCGGGCTGGCCTTCAGATCAGATCTGATGGTAAAGGTTACTTCGTGGAGCTCAGGAGAGGTCAGATGAAGACTCCATTGTCTCAGCTAGTATTTTACTCCCATTTCAGAAGCCAGAGGAAGAGAAGGGTCAGGTGGTTGCTAGAGAAATTGTACAGATCTACAGAATAAAGTACAATTTATTGGAGAGCTGGAATGAGATTCAAAGTACATGGCTCTAACTTCTAGGATCCCCAGGGAGAAGGCACAGCTGGAGAAAGAGCAGGTGTATTTTGTCTCACTGAGTGGAGAGAGCTCAGGGCGACCTTCCCCCAGCAAGAGCTCCCTGGATGCTGCCTCTTAGTCTCCCACCACTGTCAGATCACTGGGGCATCTGACACTAACTCTTCCAACCAGAGAGGAGTCAGTACAAAGGACAGAAGCTAATTAGGCAGGGATGGTGAGCAAAGAAGACAAAGGAATTAGGAGAGGACCATGACGGATTAGAGCAAGAGGTTTTTGGCTATTTGCAGGTAAGACATATTAGTGTTTTCTTGTCTGTCTTTGGGCCTAAAGAGACAGCAGGTATCTCTGTCCCCACACCTCTATACCCATGCCAGATACCCAACTGATAGTTGGCTAAAAAGAAAAAACACCCTAAGAGTGGGCCAGCCCACAATCATGTGAACCACAGGCAACGCAAATCTTTCTTCACCCCGAGTCCCAGGGTTAGGGGATGGGGCTGGGAGTGGGGGAGAAAGTGACAAACTGAACACTCAGGTATTTGAAACTCACACTATGTTTAATAAAGGAATTCCTCCCTCCCTTAGAGGCGGCCTCCTCTCTGCTTCCCATTTGGGAAAGGTAAAATGGTCAGAACAGGAAGGCATCAGCCAAAGTCCTACAGTTTCCCAAAGAAAGCACTAGCTCTTAGCTTGGTAGGTGACAGCATTCCAATTGAACAGATGCCCGAGACTGGCGAAAATGGCCAGACTAGAGGAGAAGCTGAAACAAGATTGTTCTCCAGAAACTCCAATAGTTTTTGTTGTTGTTGTTTCTGTTTTTGAGACAGGGTCTCACTATGTAGTTGAGGCTGGCCTTGAGCTTACTTGATAGCCCAGGCTGCTGTCGAATTCATAGCAATTCTCCTCTCAGCCTCCCGAGGGCTAGGATTACAGGCAGGTGCCACTACACCCAGCTTTCTATACAATTTTAGTGAACGAAAAAAAAAAAATTGCTCTGAACCTTTCATGTGGTTCTCCTATCGGTATATGATTGATTCTTATACCAGATTTTAGTTTAAAGCCCTTAAAAAGTGAGGCTGAGGTCTTTTATGCTTGCAGTGAGTATCTTCTTTCTTCACAGCTAGCTACAGATTTATGCTTACATTGCCAGCTAATAATGTAGTGATTGTCAAATGACTATTAATTACTATTGACCAAATTTAATATTGGCTTCCAGGGGGCCTGGCAAAGAACCCACAGGCACAGCAGCTCTCTTCCTACCTTTCTTAAGAAGACCCTAACTTACCCCCAATAAAGACTTCCTGGGCTTTATTTTTTTTATTATTTTTTATTTTTTTGACTTCCTGGGCTTTAGTTCAGCCTAATCTCACCCCCAAGCTTAGGTGGCAGAGCTTAGACTCAAAAAAACAGGAGATGAAAGGAATAACAATAATATATTCAGACAAAGCAAAAACAAAAAACAAAACACAAAACTAAAAGGCAAAGCGAAACAAACAAAAGAACCACAAGAAAAGAAACAAGCAAGCAATGCAGAGGAACAATCAGAAAACAGAATATTGTTTAAAATACTGTTTAATAGCTTTCCAACATTAAAAAAGTATTATGATAAAAAAAATGTGCAGCCTGGTTTTAGAGTGAGACTTTTGTCTTTTCTTCTCTTAAATCAAAGTGTCACAGAGAAAAAGCAAAAGGAAAAAATAACCATGGTTGGTTAAAGTGGATGCCACGTGCTTTCTTGTGGTCATTTTAGCAAATCATGCATCATAATAGACTATCACTCACTGCCCATAGTAGGAGATGAAACAGCAGCAGCAGCCACAGAAGTGGTGGGGGAAGATTTGACTGGTGCAACTGCTGCATAGGATGAGCTAGGAACGAGTTTTACATCAAGGTGCTGACCCATGTTCTGCCGCTTTAGGACTCCCTTAAAAGAGGCTCCCGTCTGGAATGTGTTAATAACTTCAATCTGCAAAGAATCAGAGAGTGAGACAGCTTTGCTCCACAGTCAGAGAGAAGGGCAAAGGAGGAAGGCGGAGTCACGGGGGTTGGGGGGGAAGGCAGCAGGGGAGGGGGCCGAAGCTGGAAAGGGAGAGAGGATTCTCTCACATACAAAGCAGTGGGACGGTGGGAGGGAAGGCTAACTGCGGATCATGATTCACTGAAGGAACAATTTGCTGTGGAGTCTTAACACCCAGTGCAATCCAGTTTTCTTTTCTCCTTTGGTTTCTGGTGGACACTTCAGGTGTACAGGTATCCAAGGGTCTTTAACATTTAAAAGGATTTCTCTCACTCCACTACTAATAGCCGGGCAGAGAACAGGCAGCTTTGTTCATGATTTTGTCCTGTACTCTTCAAAATAAGGCATGCAATTTGAGATACTGAAGACAAAGTACATATTTATGAATGTCAAAACTTGGGAACTTTTTTGTTGTTGTTTGTTTTGGAATTGGGAATTAAACTCAGGATCTTATGCTTGCCTGGCAGGCACCATGATGCTGAGCTATATCCTTAGGCTTTTTGGGAACTTCTAAAACAAATAAATGAACTACTTTTTTTTTTGAAGACTTCCAAGAAAATAATGCATTTATTTAAAGGAAATATAAATATAGTAGACCACCCCAGCGTGGTAGCACACACCTGTAATCTGTCTCAAAATAAATAAGTAAATAAATAAATAAAAATAAAAAAGCCCACACAGAGTTGGCCATGGTGGAAAGGCCCTGTCCCTGGCTGAAATGCAGCTCAGGAATCCAGTGGTCAAAGCCCACCGGAGAGAATGCCATTGAGCTGCATTAACACACTGGAGACCCAGAAATGTCAGGCAGAGTACTGGTAACTCAGCTGAGTGAGCTGCATGGGGAGGGAAAATTAGTGACTGGCTCTGGGCCATCCGCATGGTCCCTGTTTGTCAGCGTTTTACTCCGCAGAGACCAAGGCACTTAGCGCCACTCACTGCTCAGCAACGGCCTCAGTCGGGGCTTCCATTAAATCTATCACCATGTCCTTCACCCCGAAGTAACAAGAAACAAATCAAAAGAGATTTCTTTATCATTCATAGATCTGGTGGCCTCCACGTGGGAAAACCCACATGCCTCATTCCAAGGGTCAGCTCCCCAGGAGTGTAGGAAAGGTGCCGATCCCCTTTCCCTGACGCAATTTGAGATACTGAAGACAAAGTACATATTTATGAATGTCAAAACTTGGGAACTTTTTTGTTGTTGTTTGTTTTGGAATTGGGAATTGAACTCAGGATCTTATGCTTGCCCGGCAGGCACCATGACGCTGAAGCTCCTCTTCATCTCCAAGGGAAGATGGGTGAGAAGGTGCTTTGTGACTCGAGTATCTCCTACTTAAAAAGCTTCCTCAGAAGCCACAAAAAGCTCCAGTAGTGGGCCAGGGAGATGGCTCAGTAGAATAAGTGCTTGCCTGGCAAGCGCAAGGGTCTGAGTTCAATCCCCAGTTCCAGGAAAAAAAAAAAAAAAAAAAAAAAAAGTTCCAGTATTCATTTCTGAATTCTTATCACAGTTTGAGCTAAAACGTTACCCCTTCCTCATATGCCAGTTTTCAGTTCCAGAGGACTGAGCAGCCGGAACCTGTATGAGGTGAGGGTTTGCTCCCTGCAGCGTTCTAGCCCCATGGAGAAGGGACTGTAAGGAACCTTCCTTGGTACCTGTTAGGGCTACAAGACCTGACTTCCATGATAAAACTGCCTTCTAGGCTTACCTCCCCAAGTTTCTAGCCTTTATATCCCCCAAATTTCAGCCTTTTAGTATTTTTAGCTCCCACAAAGCTCAAAAGTAAAGGAGATAGGAAGAACAGTCTGGAACTAGGGAGAGGAAAAATCCCAAGCCAGGACTAGGCAAGAGCTTGGCAACCCCTCCTACCCCAAATGTGGCCATGAGCACCAACAATCAGGAGGCAGATTTTGTTAGCACTCTGCTGAGGACAAGGAGTGTGTGGCAGGGGGGGCTTCGATGCTGGGACGCACTACCATGCAGCACACTCAGCCTCGTCTGCTCACAGCCAAGTGACACCAGGATGGCACGATCTGCTCATCAGGGCATCTTTAACCTGTGGTGCCTAGGTCTGGGCCTTAATGCCCACCATTTGGCTGGCTGCCTCAGGCTCCAAGGCAGAGTGGTATACCTAAAGCTCTGTAGGCGCCGACACAAGACAGACAGGAGCGCAGTTGATGGAACAGAAACAGGCAGTGGAGGGAAAAAAGCCCCATGACTAGGAGCAAGTAGGCACTGGAGTGAGGGAATCCTAGCTAGGGAAGAAAATCACATAGTAGAAAAGGAGGCAGGTGATCCTGAGGGGAAGAAAAGCAAAGAGGTTATTAAAAAAAAAAAAAAGCAGACCCAAAGGAAAGCACAGGGGATGTTAGAGGTGGGTCCCAAGGCACCAGGCTCTATGGACACCCAGCAGACTCAGCACCCTGGAGGGAGGTTGGGAAGACCGTGGGAACTCTGGACTCCTCGAGGTAGTTTGTGTAGGTCCTGTTGCAATCTCCCTTCCTGGCAGGAGGAGTTTAGAAAAGGGGGAGGAGCCCAGGGTTCCCCTACCTGGCTCTTCTGGCCCACCTTTCAGCTGCCGTCTCCCCTGTGGGAGGCAAGTTCCTCCCAGGTATGCAGCTCACAGTACTCATACTACCCATCTTCTCTATGCAGACAGAGGTGGGGCTCCCTGGGGAATTTTCTACAAGTTCTGCAAGGCCAGTTTTTGAGAGTGAAGCAATTTGGGGATCTCCAGCCAACTGGCTAAAACAGGCCTGTGCTCTGGAGAGCACGCTGGAGCGCTCGGTCGCTCGGGCTGAGCTGCTTGAGCCGGAGCATCAAACGATGATGAAGATGAAGGCGTGTGGGGCAGCAGCAGGGGCTGCCGAGGCCAGGGCTGCCATTCTCCCACGAGGTAGTTACAGGTGACGCACAGAAAGAGAAACCAAAACAAAAAGTCACTACGGGCCACAGGCAGGGGACTTCAGAGTGGCCGCAGCAGCTTCTAGCCCATTGCAGAAATCGTAAGAAGGGAAAGAGTGAAGTGAAGAAATGATAGCTTCTTCCTTTCTGGGAAGCAGTCTGAATCCTGCAAAAGATACTCAGAGACTGTTGTCTTTGTACAAAATCAAAAAATCATCAAATTCCCCGCCATGGCCTTGCATTTCAAGTGGGGAAGGTAGAAAAGGATGAATTTCTTTCACAAAGATCCCTCCAGGTAACACTGGTTACCAAAACAATGGCATGGGGCTGTCACATGAAGTGACTGCTGAGGCTGGTCAGGGGATTTTGTGTCCCTCCTTCCTTTTGGAAGACAGGAAGAGACAACACGTTCCCCAGCCTTGGGTTAGGGATAGTGCTTGCAAGAGACCCTCTGCATGGAGCTTTCCAGGCTCCACAGGCTGGCAGAGTGGGTGCTGGAGTGACTCATAGCTGAGGGCTCTGCTAATCATAGGTCACGGGCTGGGCACCACAGCCACTCTGCTTCAGAGGAGGCCACGCCGACGCCTCTGCCCTGGAGGTCCTCAAGCTGGAGAGCGAGGGTTGCCCTTTGCTAGCGAGCCCCAGGCAGGGGAGAGATGGCGGCTGCCCAGCATTGCTGCTGCCCTCCCACCACTCCTGGAGACAAGGAGGTTTCTTTTCCCAGGGTGAGGACAGGCCACTAACACAGTACCTGCGTCTGGATACGGTTCAGGCCCCGGAACCAGAGGATCTGGCCTCGGCGCAGCTCCATTTCAGCGTGGTCAATCTCATCCAGCCCCTCAGCGTCCTTGGTGATCTCCTCTTTGGTAGTGCCATGGCCAGCCTCCTTCAGGAACTTCAGAGACTGAGTAGGTATCGCAGAGATGATCTGAGGACAGGAGTGGCACAGATGTCAGCTGACCTGGAGGACATCCCTGGAAGGTGCCTCTTCCCCATCACTACGTCCAGTGGGAGCAGCACCAATCTGCTCAGGGAAGTAGTCACCAAGCGCCCACCAGCCGTCACGCTCTTAGGAAGGTTTTCTGTATTATTTATGGACACATGAAAGAGAACTTATAGTCTAGTACTCTACAGCCATCTTCCTAGTTACGTAATTCCCTTTTCTAGCTTTGATCTTTTTTTTTCCATTTAGCTTTATGTCTCCAAAGGAAAGAGGACTAGAATATATGGAACAGACCCAAACAGGGACAGACACTAGGACCTGGGGGAAACAAATTGGGAGTAGTCATTTAGGCTGGACTTGAGTTCACTCTGTAGCCCAGGCTGGCCTCAAACTCATGATGCTCCTTCTGCCTCAGCACCCCCAGGTACTAGGATAACAGGTATGTGCCACCCCACCTGACCTATAAGCTCTTCTACTTATTTATTTTTTGGTGGTACCAGGGATAGAACTCAGGACCTTGTGCTTGCCAGGCAAGCTCTTATTTCACTGAGCTGGAATTATCCCTGGCCCAAGCTCTTCTACTTCTAACCTCCCTTCCCTTCTTTCCAAGCAAAACTCCACTGAAATTTTTTTTTTTTTTTGGTGGAACCAGGGATTGAACTCAGGCCTTTGCGCTTGCCAGAGAAGCGCTTATTCCACTGAGCCATCTCCCCGGCCCTTGAAAAGTTCTAATAGTGTCTCAGAAAAGCTCTGTATTTGCCAGCCTCCAGGCATGGTCAGAGAAGGGAACTAAAACCTCCGAAGAAATGGACATCACTCCATCTTGAGATCTTGTGAGATGGTGAGAACTTGAACACGTGCGCGGGAGGAGAGAAGGTGGAGGTAAGGGGCGAGAGTCTGCACAGCTGCGTGTTGCATCTCAGGTAGAGGATGGGAACTCTGCACATGGCACAAAAGCATGGGAGGACGTGCCAGTACTCACCTGGCCCCACAGGAGTTCTCCAATCCCAATTAAGAGACACCACAACCACTGGGACAGGCTGAGCTTGGTGCAACTGAAGGGTTTACCCCCAAATTCCACAATAAGAACCTAAAACAGAGAAGGGCAGCTCAAGTTCAGGGAGGGGACAGATGGGTGGCTAACTCTCCAGACAGTGTCACCAAAGGAATGTCAGTCCTGCACCCAGGGACCCTTGTGATTTTAGTCCTGATTTGCTTGCTGGACAATGGTAAGAGATGAGTGGAGGTCGAGGAAGGACACTGTAGGGTCTTTGCAGAGCTCACTGGTGGGGAGACACACGCAGCTCCTATGACTGCTATGACTGACGGATAAAAGACCTGACAGCGTGGAGGCAGGTGTCGGCTTCCTGTGACCAAAGCCAGCACGTGATAAAGAGAAGGCAAGCAATGGAAAGGAGGACCTGAAGGTGAGGGGCAGTAAGGGAGCTATCCTGCAGAAGGGGGAGCAGGACTTTTTTTTTTTTGGCGGAACTGGGGATTGAACTCAGGCCCTTGCGCCTGCCAGGGAAGCGCTTATTCCACTGAGCCATCTCCCTGGCCCCAGGACTTCTTGCACAGCCTGTTTGTAATCCTTTGTATCCTTCTGGATGTTTCAGTAGACCTGACTAGGACAAGGCAGGGATCAGTGCAGCCGTGCCCTTGAGCCCACTCTGTGCAGCAGAAGCCAGTTTAGTGTCTATGACACACATATTTGCTCTGTGAACTGTGCTGCTTTCTGCCCTGAGCCTCTCCAGAACAGAAGGGAACGGAGCCTACACCATGTGACACGCACATTTCATGTGCACCAGCAGATGGCACAGAAAGGGCCAAGAGAAGAGTGACCCCTTTCTTGGTCACTTTGTAAAATTTTTGTATATTTAGAAAATCATAAAAGAGCACGACAAGCCTTATCTTACGTGCAGCCAATGTGCTGCCTGGCACTACAGCCACTGGTGCTCTGCGCCCTGCTTCTTGAGTGAAGTACAAACGGAAGCCAACTGGGAACCCCCAAGTGTCAGCCCCAGCTTCAATCCCCCCGACACCACGACCCCTTTCCTTGGGGACTCAGGGAATCCTGGGTTCCAGCCTTCGCCTTCCTAGGTCCCCAGCTCCAGAGTCTCACCTGGCTGATGAATGTGCCCAGGACCACAGAGCAGAAGATGAGGTTGCGATAGATGCCTGAAAAGACGTTCCTCTCACCGTGGATCTTGCGGGAGTTGATTTCATTGAAGAGCTGCATCAGCACGAAGGTGTTGAAAACAATGGTGTAGTGCTGGCTGGGCGGGGAGTGCAGCGGGGCCTTCCTCCCACTATCAATATCAAAGAATTTCTCACCTGGTCGGGAGAGGTTAAGCATTGCAGGATACCTGTGGCTCAACAGGGCTGGGGTAGAGTCGGCACGTGTCGGTGTGGCCATGCCGGTGCCTCAGGGCCATGAGAAAGTCCATTCTAATTGGTCAGTGTCTGAGTTATACTTGTTATCAAGTTTATTTATTTCTTTGTTTTGCAGTACTGAGGACTGAGACCATACATCCCTAACCCTTCTTCATTTTTATTTTGATACGGTCTCATTAAGTTGCCCAGGCTGACCTAGAAATGGCCTCAGCCTCTCGAGTAGCTGGGATTGTAGGTGTGTACCACCACATCCAGCTTAATCAAATCTTTTAAATGTCAGCGCTGGCCTCAAATATCTGACCCTGTCCATCTCCTGGTTTGCTCTACGCCACCTGCTTTCTCACAGTAGAGCGTGGTGGTAAGACTGTGCGCTGGAGCTGGGCAGCAGGAAGGCACAGGGGGCGCTCGGTGGGTGAGGCTGCTGCTAGGCCCCATCTGTGCGCCTTCTGCTCCTGCACATCTCAGTGGTGGTGAGCCTGTGGCCTCTGTGCCACCGTGGGCACACAGAGCCCTCTCTGTCTGCGCATGCGCCACTGCCCGAGCATCATCACTCAGCAGCCAAGCATGGAGGTTTAATTGGAGCGCTGGCATTTTGCAATAAGTTAGTTGGTTCTGGGTGGCAGTTTGGGAGCTTGGTCTTAGAAGATGTGTCATCACTACTACATCTTCTTTCCTCAGGCCATTCTCTGTCCCATCTCCAGCTATGCGCCCCAACTGCTGCCCCACCCCCATTTGTGGCTCACCAGCAAAGACAAGGAAAAAGATGACAGCAAGCTGATAGACCGCGTGGCCCAAGATGTTCTTCATCATAGTACGCGAGATCAGAGGCTTATTCCGGCCATAGGGGCGACGCTTTAACAGAGACTCTGTGGGGGGCTCTGTGGCCAGGGCCAGTGAAGCAAAAGTATCCATGATTAGATTAACCCACAACATCTGCACGGCTTTCAGGGGGGAATCCTGGTGGGAAGAAGAACCGGTCCTTTTAGTTTTGCCCAGAACCAACCCTACCTCCATCACCAGCCATGTCTGTCCCTTGAAAGGATCTTGCTCTGACTATTCAGCTTGACTTTGAATCTGGTGCCCTATAGCTGAGTGACCTTGAGAAAATCATTGAACCGCTTTAAGCCTTGGGTTCCTCACCTATAAAACGGGAGATGATGACGCCTGCCTTCCGAGCTTGCTTGTGAAGAACAAAGAACACACTTAAGCGCGCATCACAGCAGCTGACACGGAGTGCCAGTCGCTAGAGGTAAATTATTACCACTCCACACCAGTAGACGGAGACACTGCACCTAGCTAGGTGAGCTACTTTCTGCCTCCACACTGCTGGACTCCACCTGCTCCCCGGCCTCCTCGCTCCCACCTCAGCCTGCCTAGCCCCTCCACCTGAGTGATGCAGGCTCCTGTGAAGGCCACAATCACAGCCACCACATTGACAGTGAGCTGGAACTGCAGGAACTTGGAGATGCTGTCATAGACGTTGCGTCCCCACATCACTGCTTTCACGATGCTGGTGAAGTTGTCATCTGTTAGGATGATGTCAGATGCCTCCTTTGCTACATCTGTGCCTGCAATGCCCTGGGGCAAGATGGGAAGGAAGGCCGTGAGCAGCTGGTCAGAGCAGGCCTTCTCGGAGGCCAGGCTCCATTTCCAGACCTCTAAGAAGCCTCAGAGCCAGCAATGGACACTAGAGGGCATAGCACACACACAAAAGAAAATGATGGGCCTGAAGCCCCTGCTGACTCCTGCACCCAGAGGGAACTGCTGTCTTCCTCAGCAGCCCCTTCTCCCTCCCTCCCCACATCTACTACTCTGGAAATGAATTACAATGGAAGGAACAAGTCCCATCCTTCTAATCCACCTCTAATCTTTCAATTTCTTCTGCCACAGCTAGTATCTGGTTTAAGTTTATCTTCCCCACACCTTGAAGAAGCCTGGCACTTTGCTCCAAGAGCAGCACTCTTGTGGCACAGTTCTGACGTTCTATCCTGGTCCAGAACATGCCACAGGGGCCCCCACTGGCCCCAAAGAGCTGTGCAGTGGTCGAAAGCCAAGCCTTCCTGGCTGCAGCCTTCCAGCCTGGTGGTCCACACTCTCACTAGTGAATCTGACTTATTTTTTAACCTCTTCGTCTCCAAACCTGCTGCCTTTTACCACCCTCTGAATCACTCATTCACATTTAGAGTGGAGGCCTCTGCCCCCCAGCACATTTCCCTGAGCCTAAAACATCCTCCTTCCCTATCCATTTAAACGCTCTCTCTGGTGGCACATGCCTGTGATCTGAGCTACGCAGGAGGCTGAGCAAGCACTGCCAAGTTGGATGCCAGCCTGGGCAACTTTGCAAGATTTTGTCTAAACATTAATAAATAATATAACAATAAAATATAATAATAAAAGGGGGGCCAGGTGTGGTGGTACATGCTTGTAATCCCAGCACTTGGGAAGCAGAGGCAGTGGAATCATTTTGAGCTGGAGACCAGCCTGGGCTACAAAGTGAGCTCAAGGCCAGCCTGAGCTGCATAGTAAGTCTCTGTTTCAAAAAGACAAAAAAAGGCAGGGGGTACTCTGGGGAGCTGTAGCTCAGTAGTAGAGCCTGCGTGCATGAGGCCCTGGGCTCAATCCCCAGCACCCAAAACAAAACAAACCCTATTCAGTTTTAAGGTCTCATTCAATTAAACTCTAACCGCTTTGTGAAGTGCTCCTACAGCTCCCAGCCCATGTAGCCATCATCCATTTTGTAACTTCCCTAACCACCAGAGGACCTCATTCTTCACTCTGCTCTACACTAATAGATGACTTATCTTCTTTATTTGGTAGCAGTGTCTTTCCATCTAGATTGCAAATGCGTATCTGTTAGATAAACCTGCCCGACTCAGTTCTCTCAGTGTAATCAGCTCACTAGTGCATCCACGTGATTCCACACAGTGCACGGTACAAAGAAAGGTTCTTGCACACGCTTACTCCAAATTTTATTATAAAGTGATACAAGCAAGGTGGGCCAGGTGTGGTGGCTCATGCCTGTGACCCCAGCACTCAGGAGGCTGAGGCAGGAGGATCACCATGAGTTTGAGGCCAACTGGGCTGTATAGCAAGATTCTGTCTCAAAAAAATAAAGGTAAAAACAAAACAAAACAAAGCGAGATGGAAGAAAGGTAGAAAGGTTCACAGTGTGGCACCACTTATGTACAGGGATGGGGTACAAATACATCACAGATGTTTGATTGTATTTTAAAGAAGCAAAAGAAAATAAAAGTTACCTGAGGAATTAAAAGGGAAGTAACAGGGTGAAGGCAACAGGAAGAAAAGCCTTATTCATATTTTGACTCTAGAACAACATAACTATTTTATACAAATAGAAAACAAAATTAAATCTAAAAGGCAGTTCCTAAAATGGAAAGCAACATGATACAAATGAACTACTATAGCCAACTGGTAGCAAAGCTGCACAAAAGAAAAAGTATTCAAATGACTTTTAGTAGTTTAAAGTTTAGGGGCCAGAGAGGGGCCAGCGAGACAGCTCAGCAGCGTAAAAGAGCGCCTGCTTAGGCAACCCTAGGTAAGTGCAGGGACCATGGCTTGATCCCAGGCACCACATGCCACACCAGCCCCACCCCCAGGGCGGCCTGAGCTGGCCACACACAAAAAAAATAAATAAGTAGAATAAAATAAAATTTAGGGGCCAGAGAAAGATACAGCTTAGTGACACAAGTAACTGTGTGGCAAGTACAAGGGCCTGTGTTCAATTCCTGGTATAAAAAAAGTAACTTAAAATTTAAAACTTATAGGTCATTTAGTAATTTGATGATACATTCCTAATGAAATATATCTACAGGTAAAAAGAACTGCAACTAAGTTAGGAAAAATACTTAACTGTTTTTAGTAATATTGTTATTATTTAAAAACCATCATGTTATTTTATGGTAAAGCAAATAATAATTATGTGAATGCCATTAGAAATCAGTATTTCTGGCTCAAAAGTTGCAATATAAAATCAGGGACGGCTGGACACGGTGCTGCGCGTCTGTGATCCTTCACTCAAGAGGGTAAGGCAGGAGGGTGACTGAGCTCAAGGGCAGTCTGAGCTGCACAGCAGGACTGCCTCAAAAAAATCAATCAAACACAAATAACAAAGAAAGAACCTTACAAAAATCAGGGAAGTCAAAAAAATTAGAAAGTTAAAAATTAAAAACTTAGAAATTAGCATGTTAGAGTACATAATTCTAAATTTGAATGTGAAATACTGGTCTGAATTCACAAGGAGTTTTATCTTTAAAACAAACTCAGGGGGCTGGAGAGATGGCTCAGTGGTCTAAAGCACCTACTTAGAACAAGCTTAGCAAAGCATCGGGGACTGCGGTTCAATCCCCAGCACCACATGCCAGCCAGCCCCGCCCCCTGGTGGGCTGAGCTGGCCACACACACCTCTGTCTCTGTCTCTGTCTCTGTCTCTCTCTCAAATAAATAAAAAAAAAATTAAAAAAAAAAAAATAAAAAATAAAACAAACTCAGAAACAAAGCTGAAATGTAAAAGCTTACTTTTTAGCTCTGCCTAGAGAAGAGGCCTAGAGGCTTGTGCTGACGGTGTTCTCTACATCCCAGTTCTCCCAAGCGAGGCAGGACACCTTGGAGAGATGGGGACCTCAGAGCTAAGGTAAGACATATGCACAATGTCTCTGGGACATCTCAGGCAAAAGACCAAGATGGAGAATAAGGCCAGCCGGAGCTACAGCAAGAGGACTCTGAAACACTCAAGAGGCTTCCCCTGGCTAACGACGGATCAATATAAACATCAAAATGGTGAAAGCAAGGGAATGAAATATATCAAATATACCAGAGTACAAGTATTTTTAATGATATTAAAAAAACAAAACAAAAAAAACTAGTTACCTTTGGAAGATCTTAAAAAAAAAAAATCAACTCATCATTCTGAAAACTATAAGTAGAAAGAACCAAGCATTTGACCTTGCCTTCCACAAGGGAACTGACCCTTCAAAAAAACTAGTAAGTGATGAGTGGAAGTTACTTTGGTAGAAGTATTAAATTAATAAATAAAATCAAGCTAGGTATGTGGTGCACACCTGTAATCTCAGGACTAGGGAGGCTGAGGCAGGAGGATCTCTGTGAGTTCAAGGCCAACCTAAAGTACATAGATAGTAACATCCTGTCCCAAAAAACCCCAGTAGCTACATAAATAACAGAACTGGCTTGTATAAGAAAGGGTTACTCACTGTGGCAGGTGTGTCTGCAAGTATGGCACTTAACTGGACCTTGGGGACTTGGTTCTCAGAATGTTTCTCATCAACAACAAACTGAGTAGGATCACTGGGTCTGTCTCAAAGGTGCCCACACAACCTGGTTCATACTGAACACCTATTTTGCTTCTGGGAGGCTGGGATTTTGGATGTGCCAGGGAGAAGGTGTCAGTCCTAAGGAAACGGCATGTGATGGGCATCCCCAGGGCAGAAGCACTACAGAAATATTGCTGCTTTTGTAAGAGGGGAAGAGTAGACTCATGTGGCTCCTCGTGGGAGAACACAATGACGATGACAGGCGGATTCTGCCAGTGTCTTTTTCTCCTGTAATCCAACTGTATCCTTTCTAGGCCTCTATAATAAATCTTAGCCTGGTTCAGCTATGTGCTGAATTCCATGAATCTTGGTGAATCTGTGACTATAAGCGTGTTGTTGGGAACCCTGACAGGAATGCTATACAATCAGCGGTTCTCAAACATTCATATGTATCACAATCACTGAAAGAAGCCTCATTAAAACAGGCGGCTGGGGGCTGGGGAAGTAGCTCAGTGGCATAAGCACCTGCCTAGCAAGCTCAAGGTCCTGAGTTCAATCTGCAATATCCCCCTGCCCCCCAAAATCTGAACAAAACGGGTTGGGCCCAACTGCAGGCTTTCCATTGAGGACACCTGAGCTGGGGCTGAGACTGCATTTCTGTGGGCCCCATGTGTCGCTGGTACAGCTGTGAGGAGGAGCACACCCCAAGAGCCACTGCTATGGAGAAAGAGACGTACTCGGTGTATCACACAGGTGTGACAGACGGATCTGTGTGGATCCCGATTTGGACAAACAGACCCTAAAACAACATTCACTAGTCAGCTAGGGGACCGTGAGCACCCACTGGGTGTGATGACAGTGAAGAATCACGAGTTCTGTTTTGAGGAGATGGTATTATTCTTTTAGGCATGTTTTATTGATATATATTATTTAGAGACATGTACTGAAATTTTTATGGATGAAATGACATCATTTCTTGGATTTGCTTTAGAATAATTCAGCTGGGGACAGGGAAGTTGGCAGCAGTGGTAATGTGCCAGCGACCCAAGACTGGCTGAATGTCACCAACTGCTGAAGCTGAGTGACAGATGCACAGGGACTCATTATATATGATCCTCCCTACTGTTTCTTAGAGTTAAAACTTGGTTTCTTAAAAATGTTCCCTCTCAAAATACTTCTTGGTTTTCCTGCCACTTCTTAAAAGCAGGGATGGGGTGGAGCTCAGTGGTAGAGCACCACGGAGCACACATGAAGCTCTGGGTGTGACCCCCCGCACTGCCACAAAATGAAGCAAAACAAAAAACAAAAGCACCAGTAATTCAGCTTGTGTGGGAGGCTTACAATCAGAAGCCACTTTTGTGTGAGGAAGTACAATGCCGTCCGGGGGATTCTAAACTTCCCTGAACATCAGAATGAGCTAGTATGCTTGCTAAAAAAAAAAAAAACAAAACATTTTCATACCCAGCCCATTCTCGGCTGAATCAAGATAATTCAGCCTTAGAAATTTTTTTTTTTTTGCGGAACTGGGGATTGAACTCAGGCCCCTGCACTTGCCAGGGAAGCGCATATTCCACTGAGCCATCTTCCCGGCCCTCCCAGAAATGTTTTAAAATGAACTTTTCAAGCAATTCTGATGCTCTCAGCCTCTGAAGTGAAAAGCAGAGAACTGAGCAGCGCTTGCCACGTAGCAAGTGCTTCCTGTGGAAGCTGAGCTTTCCATAAGCTCATGATTCACGTCTTGTTCTGCCAGGTGAGGCATGAGTTCATGGCTTCCCTGGCTGTCATCCATGTTCACATCCGAAGGGTCCCCACTACCCATGTTATTACTGGTCAGGTAGGTAGGAGCGATGCAGTTACAGGAAGCAGCTCACTGTGGGAGTGGAGGAGCCAGAAGCAGCAGGCCGCTAGGAACTGTCCCGGCCTCCCACAGAAGACACCATGTGACTAACAGAGACACGGTGCTGCACTTACCATGGCAAAGCCAACATCTGCTTTCTTCAGGGCAGGCCCGTCGTTGGTGCCATCCCCAGTGACAGCCACCACCTGTCGCTGTTCTCCAACAGTGCTGTCGATGATGCCTGGGGAAGACAGTGAGCATGCGCAGCTGCCCAATGTCACCTGCCAGCATGCTGCTTCCCCCAGAAGGTGCTCTTTGTGTCCACCGACAGCCTTTCTATATCCTTCTTTCTTTCACTTTCCCAAAATGCTAAAGCTGCTCCAGCTGCCACCCAAGGCAGTTACTGTTTCGTAGGCAGCACCCTAGCTAGTAAAGGAAGACCTCACATAGGGGCCTCAGGCAATGGGGAAAGTACCAGACAGACTTGGAGGCTGAGCCCTGGGCTCCGCTGCACCAATTCTACCTGCTAGCTGGGTGATTTGGCTAAGTTGTCTGTCTTTCAACTTCCAACTTCTTTCCCGAAAGAATGAGATGGTTTTACCTGTCATGACTAATTCTCAGTACCACCGGCAAACAAAATATATAATGCTTAAAAAAACTCCAACTTTATCATATGTCATACTCACCTAGGGCTCAGGTATGTGCCTAATAGAAGTTTTCCCATTAGTCTGGAGCTCTCCTAGAGGCTCCCTAGTCAGGACAGAAGGGTTGCTCTGGCTGATGCGCTTAACTTTCCTCTCCTCAGCCTGCCTTCATCTTTCGCAGGCCCTCCCCACTCAGGACCTGACCTCACCTTTCACCAGGGTGTGCTTGTCAGTGGGAGAAGATCGCGCCAGCACCCGGAGCTTAGGCCAGATCTTGTCCAGCTTTTCTTGCTCGACCTGCCAACACCAGACAGCATCTGGATCAGCCACGAGGACAATCACTTACACACACCATCTAAGCCATAGGACAGCTGGTACACCACAGCCCCACGGAGATGAAAAAACCAACTCAGCTCACTGACAGTGATCACTGCTGTCCTGTCTTCTTTTCCCTTCCCATCTCCTACCTGAGAGATCATTCATGTCTTTTTAGACCCTTGAGAGGATCAGGATTTGCTGCTCTTAGGGGGCTGACGTGACGTTACTGAGGTCTTAGGTTTGATTTTTCTATGGAGACCAGGAAGCTTTGGTCTGTTCCCCTTAGAATACCTTCTCTTACAAACTAGTCTTAGACACAGAGCAGTGACATGGGAGGGATGAGGTAGGGAAATCTTATGACTGAAAAAGCAGAATGACGTGAAAGTCTGTGACATTGTTTCAGAAGAGAACTTGTGAATGAAGACAGTGAGAAGACAGACAACTCCCCATTTCACCATCTGAGCTGCTTTGGTAGGAAGGAATGTCTCACGATGAGCAGATTCCACTTTAGAATCCACCCACTTTCTCCCACATGCCTCAGATGCTGTACGCTAGAACCAGCCCTTCCCTCATCTAGTGAGGCACTGGTTCCTCCCACCCGGGACACACCTCGCCTTTCTCATTGCGGATGAGTCTGTTGAATTCTTTGCCTTCTAAGCACAAGAAGTCATCTGCAGCTGTCAGAATGCCACATTTGGTGGCAATGGCCCGGGCTGTGTTGACGTTGTCACCTGTCACCATTCTGACAGTAATGCCAGCTCGTTTGCATTTGGCAATAGCTTCTGGAACCTTTGGGGAGTGGAGAAAGAGAAAAGGATAGCAAAGCCTGGTATGCTGCACCTTTCCTGTTCTCTTAACTGTGGATGGCAGAGAGGCTTCATGGAAGCTGTGCCGTGGGCCCTGCACTATCCCTCGTCATTTTTATAGCACTCCTTGCCACCTTGCTTCTGTTCATCCCCTAAGAATCATGTCTGGGTTTCACGCATGATCCAAGGAGCTAAGGGGAAACGGGCTTCAGGAGCCATGTGCAAACACTCGTGCTTCCTCTCAGGGTCCACACTCCTCAGCATGGTGCAGTGGTATTTAGAGATGTGGCCACTGCTTCCATGCCCAGAAGAAGTTCTAACTATTGCCTGCCCAGCCCAGGCCCCACCCATCTCAGCTCTCTGTAGTTTCTCAATTATGGGACATCCTTACTAGCTTTGGCCTGGACAACTGTCAGGTTGACTATGTGAACTTCACTGGAGCAGATCTATTATCAATCCCTTGTGTCTAGGATGGTGTTCAGTACACAGGCTCCTTGAAAAGAATAGATTGGTTGAAACAAGGTGCCTAAAGATAGTTAATCTTTTTTTTTTTTTTTTTGGTGGAACCGGGGATTGAACTCAGGGCCATCTCCCCAGCCATCTCCCCGGCCCCAAGATAGTTAATCTTGTCTCTTGACCAAATATTAAGTCCAATGAAATAATCATTTCTTACCACTCACAAAGGAAAGCCAGTCCCTGTCAAGTGGGCATGTCAGGGGTCACAAACAGACAAGGAACTTGCACCCACTTCCTGTGACCCATGGGTGGCTCCTTAGATCACAATAGGCTTGTACTTAAACCAGTGGTCACCTGGAGACTGTCACTCACGTGTTTCTGCCTTTTCTCCAAGCCAAAGCCTCACCTCTGGACGCACAGGATCTTCAATGCCCACCACTGCAATACAGGTCAGTTCTGTGAGGATCTCATTCTCGTTATCCCATGAGGGTTCTACATCATCGAAATCCCGGTAAGCTATGCAGATCGTCCGGAGCCCTTCACAGGCCATAGGCTCAATGACAGTGCGTACCATGTCATCTCGGTCCTTATTCTTGAATGGCAGTGCTTCCCCTTTCTTGTCCAGGATTCGATTACACCTGGAGAGACAGACAGTCAGAAGGCAGAGTCTCCTTTCCTACTCTGTTTCTACAGTCACTACGAACATTCAGACATCTCTGTGTTACTTCATGATCAAATATCTTTTTTACCCGTTATTGAACTGAGTTGCTCTGTCCAAGGTCCATGGTCTAGGTGGGCAGTGAGTGTGACTCTCCCAGGTCACTTGTCTTACCCACATGGAATACAATGCTGAGTCATTTGTGGATCACTTGCTCTTTTAAACTTTCAAAAAGTAAGAGTTTTTCAAACCATAACTGAACATAGGAGGGTGCTAACTGAGACTGTGTACATTAAAAGCAGGCAGCTGAAACCAAGTTGGGGCACTGCCTCATTAAGCTTTGCTGACCCTATACCCAAGTTGAGTCAACTTTTCACAACCTGTCCATTGGTAGTCCAGCAACTTTTGAAGCGGGACAACTTACCCATAGTCAGGACTGAGAATGGGAAAGAAAAGGAAACTTGGAGCTAACATTGCTGGCTGGTACTTCTATGTGTGAGGCACCTTATATGCATTGGTCACTCAGCCATAGTGAGACAGGCTTTGTTCTGAGTATGACTGCCTTTGTTTTCAGATTGGGAAAGGGGGGCTTTAGATTGTCCAGGTCTGAATCCCAACGGTGTCTCTATCAGTTGTATCTCCTTGGGCAAATTATATAATCCCTGCTTTCTCATCCATAAAACAATAACAGTACGCACTTCACAGATATGAGAATTAAATAAAAGGAGCTACCTAGAGTACTTAAAAGCAATGGTTGGCCAGTTGAATCTTGGCTCAGATGTTAGCCAGGCACCAGCACCTGGCTGAAGGGCTCCCTGATCCTTCATTCAGTCCAGTGTGGGGCACGAGGATCCCGGGGAGGAAACCTGCGAGGGAAGGGCACTCACTTGCGCAGGATGATCTCAGAGGCGCCCTTGCTGAACATGCGGAAGCCCCCGCTGGGTTTCCGGATGATAGTGCTCATGGACTTGCGCACGGAGTTGAAGGTGTACACCTTGTAGAGCTTCTCCTCCGGCACCTCATTACGCACAGCCTGGTAATCGTGCTTCAGGTCGGTGACAAAGCCCAGCAGAGCACATTCGGTTTTGTTGCCCACCTGCCGTGGCAGACCTCCCTCCTTCTCTGGAGGCTGAGGGTAAAGACATACACAGGAGTAGAGAAACCACCTAGGACAGTAAGGATGCCCCTACAACACTCTGACATAGAGACCCAGGGTTCAATGACAGCACTGGAAAATAAAAATACATAAATAAAAATTAAAATTAAAAATCGTAAGTATGCCCGGAGCCCATAAGGAGGACAGCATCTGTAGGCATTATTTTAAGAATAACAGCCGGGGAGATGGCTCAGTAGAATAAGCGCTTCCCTGGCAAGCGCAAGGGCCTGAGTTCGATCCCCGGTTCCGCCAAAAAAAAAAATGTGGTCTTCTGTTTGGGGGCCTGGCCCTAGCTCAGTTCTTTAAGTGGCTGCTTCCACCAAGCTGTCAGCCTCAGGTGGCTCTAGTTCGATCCCCACAACTCTCCAGCCAGCCACACAAGCCGTGAGGGCATTCGGAGCAAAAGAAAAAAAAAAAAAAATCCTTATGGGGCTGGTGAGATGGCTCAGTGGTCTAAAGCACCTACTTAGAACAAGCTTAGCAAAGCCCAGGGACCTCGGTTCAATCCCCCAGCACCACATGCCAGCCAGCCCGCCCCCTGGTGGGCTGAGCTGGCCACACACACACACACACACATAAATAAATAAATTAAAAAAAAAAAAAAAAGAATAACAGCCTGCGGTCAGTGGTGCTTTGATCTCAGAGCCACCCCCACTATGGGGATTTTAGGGTTTGCTCTTCACAATGCTAATATCTCACCCTCTGTGGGCCTTATTCTAAAGCTCTCTTTGTTTGTGGAAAGAGTGATTTTTCTCCTGATCAGCCCAAGTCTGCTCCAAGCATGTGGTTCCTCTTTAGAGACACTGTCTTTCCAGGGTAATCAGAGGGTCACAGATTCCTAGAGGCCCTCAATCCCAACCCTCCATTTACCCCATCTCAACCTGAGCGTGTTCAATCAAGAGTGAGAAATGGGCACAGGATGGCAATTCAAGCAGAAGAAAGAGTAAGGGATTTGCTTCCAACAAGATTACTGTTCCCCTCCAGCTGCCCACTCCACATGCCTAGGCAAAGAGGGAGCTTACCAAAATCTTAGATGTATAAGCGCTGTTGATAGAAATGCCATTGACAATAAGGTCCAGGACCCTGGGTGCTAAGACCTCGGGGCTTGGGATCTGACGGTATTGGGTGCCCCCAATGTAAGCTTGTACCACCGTCATGCGGTTCATGGTCAACGTTCCTGTCTTATCAGAGCAAATGGCGGTGGCGTTGCCCATGGTTTCACAAGCATCTAAGTGCCGCACCAGGTTGTTGTCTTTCATCATTTTCTACAAAGGAAAACAGAAAGGACTGCAGAGAAGGCCAACTGATCTCATCCAAACAAGTCTCTGGCTATGTTCTAGCCAATTATCACTCCACATTTTGTTTTCCAGTCTTACACAAAAGTTCAGGAGACTATTTTTGTGCATCTTTAAGATTCTACTGGCTCATTTAAACATTGACACAGAGGATGGAGATGGTCTCTCTAGTGTCAGGGATGGCCCACCCAAAGTGTTAAGGGGATGCAACGGTTCATCTTTTCACCCAAGGCTTCATGGTATCCTCCCTCATCTCTCTGTCCTAAAGGATGAAACAGCATTGTTCCAGTCTCACCTTCACAGAGTAGGCCAATGAAATGGTGACAGCCAGTGGCAGCCCCTCTGGCACAGCCACCACCAATACAGTGACACCAATGATGAAGAATTTGACGAAGTACTGGATGTAGACGGGAGTACATTCAGGTAGCCATGGTCTGCCTTGTATGACGAAGTTGTCAATCACGAAGTACAGAATCAGGATAACAACTGTGATAGCTGACATGATCAGACCTGTCCAGGGAAATGAGTCACATGAACCTAGGCCTGAGGGCATCCCGAGGACTCTAGCCAGAGATGGATTAGTGTAAACTGCAGTCTTTCTACTAAATTTTAAAATCATCATCTTTAAGAAGTCAGATTATGCTCTGTAGCATATATACTATGGAGTAAGAGAAAAGATGCTGGTTCTAAAGACAGTGGTTCCAAAGACTCAGAGGCTACTCTTAGCACTGTACCTACTTAACGCGTGGTTTTGACCCCATCAAGCTCACCTGGTCCTATTTCCTAGACAAAGTGTCTTATTCATAAATAGGATTAATCCACTTTCTGGAACAGCATTTTATATAATCTTTTCTTTCCTTTTTTTGTATCAGGGATCAAACTCCAGGACCTTGTGCTTCCTAGGCAGGCACTTATGCTGCTGAGCTATCTCCACAGCCCTGAAACAGCATTTTAATATTGTACTCCACAACTCATAATGAGACAACTGCATTCGTCCATTTATTAATAGTTTATCAAGGTTGGCTACTCCCAAATGTTGGACCATCACAGCTTAGTTACAGAGCTGTCCCCATGATGCTAGCATAGCTTATAAGCTAGCACACTGACCAGACAGACCTTCTAAGGACCAGTGCTCCCAAGCCTAAAGTGCAAAAATGTATCCGCCACGTGCATGGGTCATGCAAACCCTTCATAACCTTTGCATAATGACCATATGAGACAGGTTATTATTATTGTCTTTCTATTTTTGGTGACAGTACTGGGGAATCAAACTCAGGGCTTCACACATACCAAAAAAGTACTCTACACTGAGCTACACTCTCAGTCCTTTTTAAATTTTGGTTTGTAGATGTTTTGCCTAAGAACAAACAATTGTCTACAATGCAAAACTTTCACTGCTAAAATCAAGAAAGTACTGACAGCGCTGGGTCATACATCTGGAGATACATGCCAAGAATCTGTTCAAGGTCAAAACGCCAGCTGGCCACCCTGAGGGCTGAAGCACCAATGTGCAGGCACCCCTGTTCCTATCTGAGGCACAGTATTTGAGAAGAGTTTTGCTCAAAACCACAGTATAGTTTTGAACTTGGCTTTTCCTAAGGGTCCAAGATTCAGGGGCCTCAGAGTAAGGCCAGGACCAATGAAAGCATATGTGTTTGTGCTTCACTTGATCAGGACCAGGACCAGGGCAGGGCACTGAAGACACAAGGCATGTGTGGCATACAATGTAGGGAGGTGCTCACACTGGAGGTGGCACGAGGCACTCTATTCGCCTCACTCAGGTCCTGCCGTGGCTTGACATGAAAACAACAGATTCCAAGCCAACTTTCCTGTACCTGCACTCCCAAAGAAAGAGGCAGGGATGAAGACAACAGCAAGGCTAAGAGAAGTCTGTTTAATGTTTGAAACCTGTGGCTTGTCTCTGCATTTGCAATTCATTTCTTCCTGTACTGAGTTTATATGCAAGAGCTCTGAAGGTAGTCAGAAGTAGCTGGTATGCTTACTACAGAACTTCTTTCAGTGCTTCAAATGTCCTTCATATGCACTATCCAGTGTGATTGCCACTGGCCACATGCAGCTGCTGGGCATTTGAAGCAAAGGGAGGAATTGAATTTCTAACTTCATGTAATTTAAATGGATACAGCCGCCTGTGGGTGGTGGCTGCTGTGGTGAGTAGTTAGATCTTTAACTGTCCAATGTGTACTTAGTGGGTCAGCAGCACTGCCACTATCTGGGCAGTTACTAGGAATGCAGGATATCTCAGGCCCCGCTGCAGACACAGGCTGAGCTCAATCTGAACATTGAACAAGAACCCAATTACAACTGTGGCAAACAGAAGACTGGGTTAGGAAAATGCACAGGGCTCCAGATCCTACCTTGAGGAACATGGGCACCGAGGGGTGCTGCTCTCAGCCCTGACTCCCACCACTGAAAAAAGTGGTGTGACAGAGGAGACCACAGAGGTACGTATGGAGAAGAGACTTGTTTATATAGCACAGGGTACAGTTAGAGACCCCTCCTCTAGAGAGCTGCTCTGACCACTGCCCGCCTCTTCCCTCCAGTATTTTGTTTTGTTTTTGATACAGGGTCTTGCTACACAGTTTGGGCCTGTAGTGATCCTCCTGTTTCAGCCTCCCTTAGTGCTGGGATTATAGGCATGCGCCACCATACCTGGTTCCAGAGCTAGCACAAGTACCGGGTATTAAACTCAGAACCTTGCCCTTGCCTGGCAGGTGCTTATGCCACTGAGCTATCTCCCCAGCCCTCCCCTCCAGTCTTTACTCCGCGTCCATTGCTCTGTGTTGGCCATGCGCTGCTGCTTACACAAGGGGACTACCTCCAGAAACCTGTGGCTTTTTATGGCCTTGAGGAATTTACAAACCCAAACAAGAGACAGGTTAAAGCTCTTAAAGGCCTCCCTCATGCCAAGAGGTCTCCCTGATGTGATATGCATGTTTTGCTTCCCACCTGTTTGGGGGTGTGTGGGGGTGCACGAATTCTCATATGTAGGAAAACATTTCTCTCTGAAAAAGCTGAGAGAGCAGCCAAATGGTGGCATTGGGACACAGCCAGCCAGGCTGCCCTGGCAGCATGGGAGCTCCGGCTTCCTTCTGCCGGACTCAGTCAATGCTGTCGTATCCACACTGGCGTAGAATAAGAAGCTGGCTCAACCCGACTCACCGGCTTTTCCAATCTGAACAGCTAAGCGCGTCAGCTTGCCCTGGAGCACCGACTTCTCCTTTTTGGGCATCTTGGCCATCTTCTTTTCCTTCTCCTCATTGTCAGTCCCCTCCTGGCTATTGAGTGGCTGGATTTCCAAGGCCACTCCATCCTGGGTCTTTGCTACAGTGCACACACAAATACAAAAAGTGAGCAGCAAGGTGGTGACCCTGAGCGGTGGGCAGATGGAAATCAAAAACTCACGTCTTCCTCGTGCGAGTCTTCCTCCTCAGGCCCCTGACATCAGTTCTGATCCCTCCCCTCCCATGCCAGACACAGAACTTGCCTTCAGCCCTCTGTTGGGCCTTTGGAACAATAATCCACTAACTGGTAAAGAAACAGGGGTGCTGCTGGGGTCTGGATTTCCTCTTCAGTGGCAGTTTCTTGGCACCGCCTTAGAGCCCCAGACCAGGTTTATTCCAGTGGGGGAGGGGGGAGGAGTGTTAATCAAGCCACTAAGAACTGTTACCAGCAATCATCGTTCCTGGAATTCAGCACTTAAAACAGTGAATGTTTATTGCAGAAAGGACTGGAGGGCAAGTCTGGCAGAGGCTTCAAGAACACAGAGGTCCTAGTTGCCTGTCTTTCTCTCTCTTTCTATGTGGCAATGGGACACAGCCAGCCAGGCTGCCCTGGCAACTTAGGAGTCTATGTTTCTAGGAAGAAACATAGACTCTTATACCCAAGGTATTTTCTAGCTCCTTCTTTTATAAAGTGAAGGGCTGGGGAAGGAAATCCCCTTTCTCCCCTGTCTCAAATGATCGTGAGGTAGGAGGGGGACCTGGGATTAAGTCTTTGGAGGAGAGGAAGAAAGTAGTATAAAGGGACCCCCAGAATAAGAGAAAGCAGGGATAAAGATAGACATACAAATCTATTTTTCATAGACATACAAGAAGATTTAAAGACAGCTAAAATTAAAGATCATTTCGGTGTAGCCCTGGTACTCTGACACGATGACTGTTTCTGAAAACTAGTATGACATGGTTACGAAAGAAAAAAATCACTAAGTGCTAACTCATGAGAGCAGCTTTTGCTGGTTCTTAGTAACCCTCCCACTTCCCCTTACAGAGCTCAGCCCCTTGCCTAGGAGGCTCTTCCTGAGACACTGTCTCTGCTGTCAGACTCACAAACAAGACAGAGACGGGATGCAGACACAGTCACCCAAAGAGAGACACACAGCAGATCAGGAGCAACAAGACAGACTGTGGAAAGAACAAGGAGAGGTGGGGAGAGAGGTAGAGGACCGACTCTCCGGAGTATCCCAAGAAGACTAGCAGAGAAGGAATCCAGACTAGAAGACACTGATGAGGCGGTTAGCAAGAGGAGGGTGCAGGGATGGCCCACCCCAACGCCCTCCACCTGGAAGTCTCCCAACCCAGAGACTGATGACAGCAGGGGTTTAAAATCAGGGCGAGGTTTAGCGCCCTAAGAAGAGCAGATCAATGCCCCACGCCAGAGAAACCGATGTGAGGTTCTATGAGCCAACAGCAGAGGGCGTTGCTGTCCCGGCTAGCTGAGGCTGGGCCCCTGACCCCACCCCAGATCTCTGCACCTTCCTCAAGAGGAGCCATCTGGGCCACAGCAGCAGATAACAGATGATGAAGAGGGAAGGAGAGAAGGCAGATGGCCTGGAAAGGTCTGATTGAGTGTGGCAGGTAGAGATGGCGGATGAGTGGGAGGAGAGGTTACCTTTGTTGCGATTTTCAGGGACTCCTTGTTTTTTACCTGTTTGAAGAAGAAAGAAAAAAGTGGGGTGGAGACCCAAAGTGACTATTAAGAGATCAGATATGCTATTTGCTACTCCTGCTCTGAGCCCAGAAGGGCCATATAGGTGGGCTGCAGGGAAAGGCAATAAATATAAAGGAAGCTCACATTTTTGCTCTTATTCCCCCTTGCTGGAGGCTCTACTGAATCCGCGGCACTAGCAGAGCGCTCACACAGGCAAGTACAAGCTCACACCTGAGCTGCTTTCCCTTGTGTAGGGCTGCTGCTGGGAGAGAGGGTGCTCTTGGGAAACAGGGTGGTGCCAGGAATGGAGAAGTGGGAACGCTTCCTATTTACTGGCAAAGGATCTGAAAGGTGTCTCCTCACGTCACTGCAAGAGCACCAGGCAAGCTTCCTCCTCTTTTATTCTCAGGGGGCTGTGAAAATGAGGGTCCAGTTCGGAAAGAATGTGTTCTGCTTCCTTCCGTACACTGCTCTCCACTAAATAGCTCAAGATCATCCTCTGGCTAAGCAGTAGACATTTGTGTCTCCTGCCAAGGGAAGACAGAATTCTAGGGAGAGGTATAATTTGGTTACAGTATCTTTTTCTTGCTCTCTTGTTGTTCCTACTTCAGGAGTAAGGGACTGGCCAAGACTGGATTAACTTCGGGATGGACATGACCTTTCTTCCCCCTCTTCTAGCTGTGTCTCTCTTCCACTAAGAGCCCGAGTTTCAGGAGGAATCCATTTCCCCTTCTGATCAGTTTGCCCTTATCTGTGATGGTTCATTTAATCCCCCTGTCCTTGATGAGGAAAGTTGGGGGGAGGAGGCGCACAAAGAGGGCACTCGGGGTTGTACCTGCCAGCTCACTGGGAGCAGGGTTTAACTCAACCCTTTACAGCCCACCAGTGACACATAAATCCAGACCCCAAAGCAACTTGGGGGCCTTGAGCAAGGTTTTCACCACAGCTCCCCAGACAGCCAAGGTTTATGTCTTCATCTCGGCAAGAAGTTTGGAAATCTGCCCTCCTCGTTTGAGCAATTGCTACATGCAGACCTGTGGCACTACTAAGTTTGTTCATGGGGAGGAGAGGACCAAGGACCTCATTCCACATGCCCAAGTGCCCTTTACCTTTCTTCTTCTTCTCTTCCTCATCCTCCTCACTGGCCCCTAAGAGAGTAAAGATGATTCCCGTCTGGGAGTTGATCCCCACAGCAGTCACTACCATCCGGCCAGAGCCTTCCATCACATGAGTCCCTATACAGGAAAGGAGAAGATGAAAAGCAGTGTTGTTCTTCAATACCTACCATGATTGGGTATCAAACAGAAACTTAAAAACTGACACCTAGCTGGGTGTGGTGGTTCACACTTGTAATCTCAGCACTTGGGGAGGTTGAGGCAGGAGGATCACTTTGAGTTTGAACCAGCCGAGCTACCTACAGAGCTGAGGCAGCCTGAACTGCATAGCGAGAACCTGTCTCAAAAAACAGGGGAGGGGGCAGGATATAGCTCAGTGCAAGGTCCTGAGTTCACTTCCCAGTAGCACCCCCTAGCCTGGACTGTGGGTAATGATAAACTTATCAGCGTTAAGAAAATGTAAGTGGGGCTAGATCCATTTAAAACAGACAAATCAACTGAACATTGGGAGGAAATTAGAAGTGCTTCAGGCAAAGTCTTCCCCTCATGACCTTCACCCCAGCTGAGCCCTTCTAACACCCTTCACAGAACTCGTTTCATAAAAATCCTCTCTCGGGCTGGTGAGATGGCTCAGTGGTCTAAAGCACCTACTTAGAACAAGCTAAGCAAAGCAAAGCACAGGGACCGCGGTTCAATCTCCCAGCTCCACATGCCAGCCAGCCCCACCCCTTGGTGGGCTGAGCTGGCCACACACACACACACACACACACACACTCACACAAATAAATAAATACAATAAAAAAAAAAAAATCCTCTCTCAGGGTGCCTGGTAGTCCTTGTACTCAACACCTCTGTGTGCTACTGCCTCCACTGAGCACATGGGAAGGAGAATGGAGCTGGAAGGGAAAGCAGTCTGGGGCTCCTGGCCTGGCTGTCTGGGAGGCAGTAGAGGGGGATATGGGCAGCAAGAGGCTATACCTGAGAGCAACATGGGGTCTTTGTCCAGGGACTTCTTGACATGGTCTGATTCCCCTGTCAGAGAGCTCTCGTCAATCTTCAGATCGTTTCCCTGGATCAGGATCCCATCTGCAGGCAGCAGGTCACCTATTGAAGAGAGGAGCAGCAGGCAGTGAAGGGGAGCAGGTCAGGACTTGTCAAGAGTGAGTCTCTGATCTGCCTCTCTTCCTGGGTTACACTGTGGGTCATCTCTATAGGGTGGTGGCCCAGGTAGGACCTGGAGCGCCTTTATAAAAGAACTGCTGGACAGGGGTGTACCTAGCATGTACAAGACCCTGGTTTCCAGCCTCAGCACCATCAAAAAATTCCTTCAGGTAGTATGAATTCAAACTATTTGGACCTCAATCTCCTTCCTATGGCCTCGATATCATATATCTTTAATCCCAAGACACACAATGTGCAAGTCTGACAACCTGTTAGGAGAATTTCAGCTATTATTGTCTTTGAAATTCCTTTCTACAACCTCCTTAACCTTTAACCGAGATGCTAACACAATCTGGGGGCCTCATCTCCTGGGATTTTCAGCAATCCCCAGCCTCCTCATGCAGAGGCCCTACCCTCGAATATGCGTGGATATGGGGTGGGGAGAGGCCTGAGAAGCATGGGGCTCTCACCATATTTGATTTGGGCGATGTCGCCCACTACGATCTCAGCCACAGGGAGCTGGATGAGCTGACCATTCCGAATGATGGAGAACTTTTGTTCTTGCTCAATACGGCTCTGGAGTCCCCGGAACTGTTTCTCCTTGCTCCAGTCATTGAAGGCCGTCACCAGTACCACGATGATCACTGAGAACAGGATGGCAGCGCCCTCGATCCAGCCAGCTTCGGCCTCATTTTCGTCTTCTGGGCTACTTGAGGCTTCCCCACACACTATGCAGGGAAAGGAGAGAAACAGTCCCCAAAGGCCCCTTTGTTGACACTAAGAAAGGAGAGCAGCGCTCTCGCAGCTTCCATGGAATGGGAAGTCAGAGAAACAGAACACAGAAAGTGTGTTCTGAAACTCTTCAGTAGAGGAGTTAATCTCAGAAGAAATCAGGAGATAGCAGTGTCGGGTATGGTCTTGCCATCACTATCTATTTACTATTTAGTGTATTTTTAAAAATTTTATTGGTAGTTCATTTATGCTAGTTAATCTAAAAAAAGCAAATGACTAAACTGTATGAAATATGTCACTAGATGTCATATGTAAAAAACTTATGATTCCCAACATGGTCAGTCAGGCTCTTCTTGCTGTTTCCCATAATGCCAAACCATTGGTAGGTGGAGGGAGGGGATCTGTGACATTATTTTGAATCTGTTGGGAGAAGGGGAAGAAATTGCAACAAGTGACAGAGTAAGAAACAGTGAGTGAGAAGAACAGCTCTTTGGCTGCTAGGTTGGTTTCTTTTGGGGAGCTCACTGGATAAAAGGGGAAGATTTATGCTCTCATCTGTCAACCAGCAAGGCGAAGAGGCTTTGGTAATAATGAGAAGAGCCCAAATCAGCCCTCCTGAGCCGTTGAAACACTCACCTTCATTGTTGCCACCAGGGGGGCGATAGAAGGACAGGACGAGGGAGACGATGGCGGCAATCTCCAGGATGATGAGCGTGACATCTTGAAGGGCTTCCCATACTAATTCTAAGAAGGTCTTGGGCTTTTTGGGGGGAATGAAGTTCTGTCCAAACTTAAGTTTACGTTTCTCTAGATCAGCAGGGTTCCCAGAAAGACCTGAAAAGGAGATAGGCGTACATGAGTATAAAAGGGGAATATTAACAGAAGGCAGTTAAAAGCCCTCTTGTTTAAAAAAAAAAAAAAAAAAAAAGAATACACCTTTGAAAAGACCCTTTGCTTCCTGACCTGCTCAACTGTGAAAGTCAGTTGGCTGGACAGCCATCCTAATAGTCCTCAGCTTTTAGTATACCTATGCTCAGTGACAAGGTGGCCTTGGCACGGGTGCCACCTGGTTCTTAGTAGCCAGGATAAACTAAGGCATGCATACAATTTCACCTACTCCTCATGTGGTATGCAGCAGGCTCCAGCCTAAAGAATATAAATATTGACATTTTCCTCGGGAACTGGGTATGGTGGTACATGCCTGTATTCCCAGCTGCTTAGGAGGCTGAGGTAGAAAGATTGCAAGTTCAAGAACAGCACGAGCAAGTTAACAAGATCCCCATCTCACACACAAAAAACAAGTTTCTTGGGATACATACAGAACTTCTTTCTCATACTAACATGCAAATGCTGCTTCAGATTGGAAATCATAGTGTTAATCCCCTAGCTTGCCAGGAGTGGTGGTGCACGCCTGTAATCCCAGCACTCAGGAGGCTGAGGCAGGAGGACTGTTGCAAGTTTGAGACCAGACTGGGCCACAAAGTGAGCTCAAGGCCAGCCTGAGCTGCATAGTATGACGCTGTTTCAAAAAGATGAAGAAAAAAAAAAAAATCCCCTGGCTTATCCATAAAGACCAGGAAAAACAAGCGATCTGCTCAAGGTCATGCAGGGCAGAGCCCATCCACATGTCCAGATTCCAAGCTCTAGGAGCTGCAGGAGATCACCACAGAGGCCTCGAGACTGTAAACGGGCATCCCCTTGATGCACGCACGTCTCTACTTTTCTGTTATGCACTCCACCAAGTAGTACTGCTTCTCTATTAAGCAGGCACTAAATCGGTAGGAGGAGAAATGCTACCACTGAGGCTGAGTAGGAAGAGGATAAAGGAGGCAAGGTCACTAAGTGTTCAGATACCACAGTTCTTGGTCACCAGCATCCTCCCGACTAACACGCGTGTACGCTTGTACACTTGCATCCACACACACCTCAGAAGGAAATAAACCTACCGCACAGCACACCACATAGCTTACAGATACACACCACACTCACATCATATACCGCATATATATACTACACAAAAGTCATGCACACACCATGTACATGTATCGCATACCACACAAATAATACATAAATACCCCCCACAGGGATATATACATAGCACACAGACCACATGAGGTGCCTATCAGACACATACCACATATATAAGCCACACATCATACTTATACCACACACAAAACCACACACCACCTCACACATTCTAGGCACATTCTCAGAGGACTTGAGATAGTTTGGTACAGTGTCTCAATATACAGTCGGGACCTGCAGTGATCCTCCTGTTTCAGCCTCCCCAGCACTGGGATTACAGGGGTGCACCACCACGCTGGGTCTTGGTGGCCAGCTCGGTATGCCTGGGGCAAGACCAGCACAGCATATGGTACCAGGGATTGAACCTGGGTTCTTGTGCACTTGACCACTGAGCTATCTCTGCAGTCCATGGTAGAACCATTCTTAATGCCTTCTTAAGGATTCAGGCCCCTCGCTTGGCTCCCAGAAGGACTGTTTTTTTTTTTTTTTTTTTTTATTTATTTATTTATTTATTTATTTATTTATTTATTGTGTGTGTGTGTGTGTGTGTGTGTGGCCAGCTCAGCCCACCAGGGGGCGGGGCTGGCTGGCATGTGGTGCTGGGGGATTGAACCGCGGTCCCTGTGCTTTGTTAAGCTTGTTCTAAGTAGGTGCTTTAGACCACTGAGCCATCTCACCAGCCCAGGACTGTTCTTTCAAGTGGAAGAGAATCCTAACATGGTGGACTCATTGAATTGTTTACACAGGGCAGCAAACTAGTCTTGGTTCTGGAAATGTCTGGCTGCCTGTGTGACAGGCAGAGCAGGGCACCTCTGTTGAAAAAGGCTCAGCAGCTGGGGCAAGGGTGCTCCACTGAGATTCCTGTAGAGCAGATACTGGGAGGAGTCTCAAGGACAAAACAGAGGCAGTGATACCAGAGGACTTCTTTACCCCGTCAACATGACCACTTTCCCATGGGAAGGGAAGGCATGGGGCCTGGAGTGAGGGCAACCATCTCTCCACTTCCACTGAATAGTACCTAGCTGTGGGACGGCTAGGAGTGGGGGGCAGGAGGGAACTGGGTTAGACCTAAGGAAGACACTGAGGCAGGAAAAGATTTTGAAAATGAGAAAATAGCCAGGGAGGGAGATAGCTCAGCAGTGTAAGCACCTGCCTGGGCAACTGCAAGGTCCTGAGTTCAGTCCCTGGTATGAAGGAGAGAGAGACAGAAGATTCCAGGGAGTACTGTTTACAGGGCCTGAGATGGTATTTACCATCAAAAGCAACCCCTCAGCAGTGGTTGGACATTTGGACACTCATCAGTCTGGTCTAAAATAATGAAGTATTGGGGCCTGGCCTTAGCTCAGTTGTTTAAGGGGCTGCTTCCACAAAGCTGTCAGCCTCAGGTTGCTGTAGTTTGATTCCCACAACTCTCCAGCCAGCCAAACCAGCCAAACCAGCCATGAGGGCATTCGGAGCAAAAAAAAAAAAAAAAAAAAAAAAAACCTTAAAATAATGAAGTATTAAGGAGCTGCCTTAGAGGGAAAGTGAGGGGGCATGCAAGGGCACTTTCACTTGCTACTATTAGGAGAGAGAACAGGGAACAGGTTAGGAACCTGTGCCAATGTTGTAATTTAGGGCCTCTTCCACCCAGTAGAGCTCCACAAGGGAGCAGGAAAGGCACCAGAAGCACATTGAGCTGCTTCCCTGATGCCTGCTACATGCCCCACTCTACAACTGCCTTCACTGCAGGAAGGGGAAGCAAGGGCCTAGGAGAGGAGCATTCTGGGCAGAGTGCTGGATCCCCAGCAGGCACGGGCAGAGTGATCAGGGGCAGGGCCTTGCTGGCTGCAACAGGAGATGGCAGGGCCATTGCAGAGTGGGATTAGCGCCAGGTCTGTTTGGGTGAAGTAGAAGTTCTCATAACTGGTTAGGATGTTTTCTACAGAATCATGGTCCACTCTAGTCAGAGGAGACGGCTTCTCTCTGTTAGCAAGAGTTAGTTGGCCATCATGAGGGACGTCAGATGTTAAAGGGGAATAATAAAGGACACTCTAGTGGCTTAATAACCCCTCTTCCCACCAAAACAAAAAACAACAAAACAATGCATCTGTGAATATTCCATCTAAACAACGCTTCTGAGGACCAAGGGCAAAGGACTACTCGCCCCTCTCGGCTCTCTTATTAATTCCTTATAATTATCTTTGGTGTCTACCACCCTCTTCTCTCTCATCCCCTGTATCTGTTTAGTCAAGAAATCCTACCAGCCCTACCTTCAAAATGTACCCAAAGTTGAACCCCTTCCCATTCCCCAGCTGTCACTCTGGTCTCAGTCACCAGCATCTCTTTCCTGCTCTACGGCATCTGCTAACTGGCCTCCTGGCTGCCAGCCATGCCCTGTTCCCAGCCTTTTCCCAACACCATAGCCAGAGCATTGTTTTTAAGACCTGAAGCAGTACATGCTACCCATCTGCCTAAACCCCCTGTGACTTTTACTTGCAGTGAAACCGAACCCAAGACCTTACGGGACTGAAAGGCTCCTCTGTGAGCCCTGGGGCCTGTCTGCTCCCCTTGTTCCTTCTGTTCTCCCAACACACTGAACAGGGATGTGCTTCTGCTCCAGGTCTCTGCCCAGATCCTCTGTCGTGGGCCAGGGGTCACACCCTCTCCTCCTTAGGGTCTCAGGGTTCACACCCTCACCACCTTAGGGTCTCTATACCATTGTCTACTTGTAAAAGAAGCCTACCCTCACCCACTTGAAAGGGTGACTTCCTCGCATGGCACTCTCCATTCCTCGCCCTGCTCGGCTGCCCCCAACACATCTCCTCTAACATGCTGTAAGATCTGTCATTTATTGTTGGTCTCCGCCCCTCCACAAGGGCAGGGTTTGTCTCTACTCTTTAGGCCTATAGCAGTGAATGTACACATACAAATTTATTGAATGAATTAAATGAATGAATAACAAATAAGACTGCTAGCGTTTAGCGATCACCATGTGCTTCACCAGGCAGGCACATTCATACTTTCTCATTCAAACAGCACAACCCTAGGAGGTCACTATTAAATTTTACATATAAGCAAACGAAGGGCTAGAGAGGCGGCAGGATGCCAACCTCCATCCAGAGGAGCCTGGGAGACGGAGGCAACTACACTCAGCTGAGGCTTCATTCAAGTGAGACCAGTTGGTCCCTGTGTGCTGGCACCTGCCCAGCTCTGCACTGAAGGTCCTGCTTCCCAGCCCCACCTTGCCTCCTGCGCCACAGGTTGCTCACAAGCTGTTTTCCTTTGTGCCTCTGAGTAAGCCAGCACTACTCTCACAGCCTCCAGTGAGGGCGAACAGTTGTCTTTTTCTTGTCTCAGGGATGGTGTCATTCATTCCTCTGAGGTCTTAATTTTGCTCCATGAGATTTTTGTATGGCTTTTGGGGGACATACACAAATGAAGCAAAGCACATTATAGGAACCATAAAAGGTCAGGACTGCTCTTACTCAGATACCTTCAAAGTTTTTTTTATTTTTTGCCATTTTCTACTTGTCCATCTGCTCCACCTTAAGTCACCCTGGGCATGTGCTGTAGCTACCTTAAGAAGTCAAGTCCTGTGCCAGTTCCCAGTGTGCCCTGCAGCAGGGCGGGGCAGGTTGGGTTCTTAGTAAGAGTAGCCTTGGGAATCCTCTCTGACATGTGGCACTGCACAGGAAAGCCATGTGGGGCTGGGAGCCCAGCCAATCCCAATTTTGGGCTTTCCATTCCAATTCTTTGTCTCAGAGAAGCTCTCAGACCCTGATCTCAGCAGCTATAATTTCACACAAATAGTCATGCAGCCCAGAAAA